GTGAAAACTACTCTCAACTAACCAGAAATGACCCAAGAAAACTTCCCTAAGACAAAAGAAACCCAATCCCTCAGCTCCAACCTTACTTCACAATGGGGAAGAGAATGACCCTCTCCTTGAGAAAAACACTGGTGTGCAGGATGGCCTCTCTTGCATTATGTGTCAAGATATCCCAGAGTGTGTTAATCATAGCTTTCCCACTGTTTTATGCTATTTCAGTTGATACTGTAATCAACAGTCTGTGATTACATTATTATGAGTGCGCAGGTACTATTCACACCTGAGGATTATAATGTTGCACTTAATATGTTTTCCTGGAATCAATACATGCCTGATATTTCCATCTGCATAGTTTCCCTTGAACTTATTGCTAATCTTTCCACAGTTCTTAGTAGTCTTTCTACATAACTTTACACAACATCCGCCAAATTGCGTAATCTATAAATCAATGAATGAATGAATGAGACATTGTTAGTATTTGTAGTTTTACCTCTTATCTATAATAACACAATGGTTTCCTTCCTGCTTACCCTCTTGGAGACTATCCATTTATGGGTAAAATTCTCCTGAGGAAATAATAGAGGTGATATACCCCGCACTGTCTGATGAAAAATAGATAGTAGAAACACATCTGAGGGATCAGGTCTTTGCTCCACCACTGTAAGGGATACTGAAAAGTTCAGTCTACATCCTAGTCCTGATAGCATAAAGCCCACATTTAGGAAAAAAAGAAAAAGCAACAGAGAGTCATGGAAGAAATTTGCCACCAACACTAGGAGACCTGTGTTTACTTCCTGATCCAGACATGACTACACTGGGATAAGTCACACAAAACAGCAGCCTCTGTGGATTGAGGTTTTCCTACCTGACAAATGAAAAGGCCCTTGTGCCCCTTTTGCTCTGAAATTTCATCACTGATGCAACCAAAAAAAATTCTCTAGAATTTTCTTGTCCTCCGGTACTCCCCAGATAGACCCTCAGGACTCACCAAGACAAAGGAGGGTGGAGGGGGATGGAGACATGGTTCCTCAGCTGCAGTCTGAGCTCTGTGGCCAAGGAGGGAAATGGTGGGATCTGGGGCAGGGGTGCAGGATGTGATGAGGGTGATGAATGCTCTTCTCCTTTCCCCCACCAGCACTGGCTTTTCCTAATTAAGATGCCTCCAGCTGGAGCGGCCTACACAGCAGAGTGACTTTGCATGGGGGATCCCAGGAGCCTGGCTTATCTCTTTTGGCCAGCCTGGTGAGGCACCATCTGGCAGCCTGTTGGGGCATGGTCCATGCTCCTATGCTCCCTAAACTTACCAACAGTTACAGTTCAAACCACAAGGAGATACTACCTACTTCATACCTGCCAGGGTAGCTACAATTAAAAAAATGGAAAATAGTGGGAGAGAAGGGAACACTTTTATACTGTGGGTGAGAATGCAAACTAATGTGCTTCTTTGGAAAGAGGTATGGAGAATACTCAAAGAGCTAAAAGTAGACCTTCCATTTGATCCCACAATCCCATTACTAGGTTTCAACTCAGAAGAAAATAAATCATTTTACTATAAGGAAATTTGCATCAGAATGTTTATCACAGCTCAATTCACAATCGACAAGATGTGGAGTAAACCCAAGTGCCCATCAACACAGGAATGGAGCAATAACCTGTGGTATATGTATACTGCAGAGTACTATTCAGCCATAAAAAGATGGAGACTTTACATCTTTTATACTTACCTGGATAGAGTTGAAGAACACTCTCCTTAGTAAAGTATCACAAGAATGGAAAAGAATGGAAAAGCAAGTATATGATGTACTCAATAATAATTTGAAGGCAGTAGATGATAAACTGCACACCCACATGAGAGAAAAACAATTAAATTCAAGTGGCAGAGGGAGGAGAGAAGGAGATTGGTGAGTTCTCACCCAAAAGGCACTCTGTAGGGTATATGGCATACCCCCAGGGTGAAGGGATCAACTACAACATGGACTAACAAATTACAAACTAACTCAACTACAACATTTACCTGACAAATGTAAGCAATATAACCTAATCATTTGTACCCTCATATTCATCAGAAATTTAGGTTTGGCACCCGTAGTTCAATGAGTAGGGCGCTAGCCACATACACTAAGGCTGGTGGGTTCAAGCCTGGCTTGGGCCTGCTAAAGAACAACGACAACTGCAACCAAAAAATAGCCGGGCATTGTGGTGGGAACCTGTGGTCCCAGCTACTCAGGAGGCTGAGGGAAGAGAATCACTTAAGCCCAAGAGTTTGAGGTTGCTGTGAGCTGTAATGCCATAGCACTCTACTGAGGGTGACATAGTGAGACTCTGTCTCAAAAAAAAAAAAAAAAAGAAATTAAAAAAAAGGAAAATATGAAATGTTGGAATGTTGATGAGGATGCAGGGAAATTGGAACCACCATGCTTTGTGGTGAGAATGTAACAGGTACAGCAGCTGTGGAAAATAGTTTGGCAGTACCTCAGAAAGTTAAACAAGGGCAGGGCACAGTGGCTCACACCTGTAATCCCAGCACTCTGGTGGATGGATTGCTTGAGCTTAGGCGTTCAAGACCAGCCCAAGCAAGAATGAGATGCCATCTCTACTAAAAATAGAAAAACTAGTTGGGCATAGTGGTGGGTGCCTGTAGTCCCAGCTACTCGGAAGGCTGAGACAGGAGGATTGCTTGAACCTAAGAGTTTGAGATTGCTGTGAGTTATGACACCATGGCACTCTACTCAGGGTGACAGAGTGAGACTCTGTTTCTAAATAAATAAGTAAATAAATAGAAAAAGAAAGGCCCAAAACTAAACAGAGTATCATGTAATGTTTTGATCTATGTAATATTGGGGAGTGATAAAATAAATCTAATGAACATATCCATCACCTGAAGTAATTATTCTTATTACATTTTTTTTGTGGTGAGAACACATAAAGTCTACCATCTTGGCAATTTGAAAGCCAGAATACCTTATTAACTATAGTCACCACATTGTGCAATGAATATGCAAAAATTATATTTCCTGTATTAATGAAATGAAGCCTTTGATCGACTCTGTTTTTGAGGAAGTTTCCCACAGTTTTCCATAGCAGCTGCACCATTTTACATTCCTACACATTCCTACCAACAGTGAAAAGCATGGAAAATTTTGATGTGTGTTTTAAGGGAAAAGAACATGGTGGTGAGATGGAGTATTACTGGGCTGACAGCCCTGTTTAATAGAAAGGCTTCAGAGAACTTTCCTCTGAGGGGTGATGTTTGAGGTTATGCCTGATAATAAGAAATGTTCATGTAGTAACAATATTGATGCTAAAAGAGAAAAAAAAATAACAACAAAAATGAAAAGTAAAAAGGAAATTCAGGGAGAAGAGCAGTACATTCAGCTGAAAGCCTTGATGAAGTAGAGCTTAGTGTGTTCCTGTACCTGGGAGTGATTAGTATGTGGAGTGACTGAGCACAAAGCTGGGGCTACAGAGAATAGCCTCGGGACCAGGGAAGGCTGCCCTGCCCACTAGAGAATGTGGGGCTGCATTTCTGGCATCTGACCACAAGATATTGCTCGTGTAATATCCTCTATAGCTGTGACCAAAAAAAAAAAAAGTCTCCAATTACTGCCAAGTGTCTGTTCTCTAATAATTGAGATATTTGCAGACAAACATCTCAATCCATTAGGTTAGATCATTCGATACACAGAGGGAAAGATCAAGATTGGGACCATTAGTGATTTTCAATAAGATTGTCTTGGGTAGGTTTGCATTTGTGGGGTACAGATAAGAAGGGGTCCCCATGAAAACCTGGAGCCCAGTTAAAACAAGTGAAGTGTTTCAAGCAAGAGATGAGTGTGTTTTCAAGGATGGAGAGGAGTAGGTGGACTTAGTCACTGGGAGTCAGGGAGGAGACTGACTTCCAGCTTCCCTGTAAGGGTACCTAGGCAGACTGAGGTGCTGTCTGTTCATAAAAGTGTCCAGAAGTAGCCCATAGGTGTGGGCTGAAGACACACAGAGAAGAAAAGAAAAAAGGAGACATTTAAAAGAATGAAGTATACCTACAAGATCAGAAAATGCCCTCAGAAATGCAAATCTAGGAGTTATTGGCCTTACAGAGGATGTAGGGAAAGTGATTTAGGGCAAAATGTTTATTCACAGAAATCATAATAGAGAACTTAACCAACCTAAAGAATCATATGCCTATCTAGTCACGAGGAGGTCAAAGAACACTAAGCAGATTCAACCCAAATAAGACAACTACACAGCACATAATAATCAAACTCTCAGAACTCAAGGACAAAGAAGAAAATACCATGCAAAGGAGCTGTAAAGCACAGGCCAGCAGACTTGTCAGTGGAAACCTTATAAGCCAGGATGGAGAGACAGGACAGATTCAAAGTACTGAAGGAATAAAATTCCCCAGGAAAATCAGGGTAGACATCTTTATCTGGTCCAAAATGGCTTGAGAGAGTTAGGAAATGATACTGTCTTGAGGTTTTCATGGTGTTGAGGGGTGGGCCAGGAGCCAGGCATGGTTTGAATTTCCCACCAGCACCAAAGGAGAGAGCTCCTGTGTTTTCTCATCAGTGTGGCCAGGTGTGGGAAGAGAAGGCATAGAGAGGGACAGTTAAAGCTAACAGCTGCCAGCAATCTGACATCCAAAGTATTGAATCTGTTTCTTAATTACAGAGGATTTTCCCTCAGTCCAAATGATTCAATGTTGAATGGCTGTGATTTACAGAAAGTTGGTACATATTTCTTTAGGGCATAATGTTTTATTACCACAGAAAAACCATTAGGTGTAATAAGATTTAGCATGCGTCATATGCACAGGTAGGAGGAGTGTATTAAAAACATTTGGGGAAGCTGTTATGTTTGGTAGTTTCTCATAAAGTTAAACAAAGATGTGCTCCAATGAGTGTTTATGTCCATAATAAAGATTTCTCAAAAAATTTATCCAAATCACCTGTATCTGGAAACTTCCCTAATATTATAAACAAGAAGATCAATAAATTAAGTTCTGGGATCAGCGCCTGTGGCTCAAGTGGCTAAGGCGCCAGCCACATACACCTAAGGTGGTGGGTTCGAATCCAGCCCGACCCGCCAAACAACAATGACGGCTGCAACCAAAAAATAGCCGGGCGTTGTGGCGGGCGCCTGTGGTCCCAGCTACTTGAGAGGCTGAGGCCAGAGACTCGCTTGAGCCCAGGAGTTGGAGGTTGCTGTGAGCTGTTAAGCCACGGCACTCTACCCAGGGGGACAGCTTGAGGCTCTGTCTCAAAAAAAAAAATAAATTAAGTTCTGTATACTCATAAAATGGAACACATCTCAACAACAAAGAAGGAACTATTGATAATGTGCAACAACAGAGCTGGATCTCAGAAGCATTCCACTGAGGACAAGAAACCAGACACACAGGAAATTAATATGGTGTGCTTTATGAGGTTCAAGATCAGAAATGGAAATCTAGGAGTTATTGGCCTTAGAGAGGATGCTGTCTGTTTCTCCAGGATGCTGGAGATAAAACTTTAAGTATGGGCCAGGAAAGAGCAGAAGGATCCTCTCCATGGAGATGGAAACAGACTCTATCTTGCTAGAATAGGTGGCTGCACAGGAGATAACTTATGTGCAGATTCATCAAGCTGTTTATTAAATGTGCATATTTTATGGTGTGTGAATTCCTACTTAATGTGAATGAGGGAAAACACAACAATAACCAATATTGAAACTAATAACTAATTTCAATACTAATAAACAATAAGACACAGAAAACCTTTTCATAAAAGTCAACAGTTATTTATTTTCAAGGGACTTAATTAAGTTGAAAAACTTCCACTTATATCTTCTTTAACTTAATACATGTTAGGGACAAAACCGTTATAGCAAGTATTATACTGGGAGTGTAGGGCACACGGATCCAGCAGCAGGGCAGGTGCTGAACATGGTTATGGCAGTGCAGGGTGTCTGGTGACTTCGGCAAGGAGAACATTTGGCCCATGACTCCAGCAGGGCAGAGCTCAGCGCAGAGGCTCCAGCAGGGTGG